TGGCTATGGCTTGGAGGGAGAGTCCCCCTCCCTATGACCACGTGTCACGGGTGGAAAATGGCTGCGGACCACGTGTCAGGGGTGGAAAAATGGCCACGGACCACGTGTCATGGGCGGGAAAATGGCCGCGGACCACGTGTCACGGGCGGGAAAATGGCCGCGGACCACGTGTCAGGGCGGAAAATGGCCGCAGACCACGTGTCACAGGTGGGAAAATGGCCGCGGACCGTGTCACGGGAGGGAAAATGGCTGCGGATCCTGTTCGTAACCCAAGGCGGAGTTTGCAAACCGAAGCAAATTTCTGCAGCCGGAGCTGGTCGTAACCCGAAACGTTCGTTAACAGAAGCGTTCGTAACCCGAGGTTCCACTGTACAATTATTGAATTTATCTCCAAAAACCTACACTTCAATTTCAGATTCTATGTGCCTTAACCTTAAGTGGGACCCAAATGACTTCTGAGCAGATATTACTTATTTATCCTCCTACGTAGTGGCCATGGAGATTTCAGTTCTGGTACATGGCATAGTACTTTTTTGTGTGAGACGTTACAGTTGAGAATTATGGTAATGTTTAATTTGGCTCTCAGTTAAGGCAAAGATGGTGTTGAGCATTCAGGTACTTTTCAGGCATCATGAAACAAAAATTAATGGGATCCAAACCTAAGTATTTTCATCCAACGGGAAGAGATCCCCGACTAGCAAAAATTAGAGTGGGCACTAGACCCAGAACTCATTCTGCTTGTATACACACCAGCTGAGTGCTGGTTTGAAGGGAAAACAGAATGTAAGAGAACGAGCCCATTAGAACATAAGGAAAAAATTAGGAGAATCAACCAGAAGGCTTCTGATCAGTCACTGGTCTTGGGTGAACCCTGAGAAAGAAGTGAAAACAGAAGCTAGGGAACAGCTTGAAAGGGAAAGAACTTTAATTACTGACAGTACCATTAATTGAATGAGTGGGGTTTGGGGACAAGCAAGCTGAAATAAGGTCCAAATAGGCAGGATCAAAGAACCTCTGGTGAAGCAGTGTTGAGACGAGAAAACTGTTCCTATGTGCATATACTATTGTTCCTCTAAAGATGTTCACCTGCTCTATCAGAACCCTGCATGAAATCTGTCTCTCCTTGGTCAGATAATTTAGCCAGGAATGATAATCAATCAGGAAATAAAAAGAGAAGGGACTTGGTGTAAAATTCAGTAAAGAACTGGGAGGTAAGTTGGACTTACGATTTAAATAGGGACCAGCACATATCCAACCAGTTCATCATTCTCTCAGCCACATAGTTATTATAGAAGTAACTAAACATATTACATTTTCTAAATTATTTTATTTCAAATTTGGTTATCTTTTATGAAGTCCTTTGAATTATTTTTGATTATCTTATCTTTATTCCTACATTATTCAGAAGTATTCAGAGCAAATTTTTGTGCTTTTTCCTGATAGTGGTGGAAAATATTTTCTTTTTGAAGGGAGATTTTTTTTTTCCTTAACAGGCAGATGTGGATGTGGAGGTGGATAGAGGTGGATGCTTGCACATGGGAAATTAAATGGTAAAACTTAATGACAAGGGACAAATACACAGTAACTTGATCATTTAGTCTGTAATCCACCTGCCTTCTGGATCATCCTTTTGATCAAGTGTTGACTCCATAGAAATCAGCTGCTTTCACCCTTGCAGTGGGAATGGGCAATAATAAACTAAATCATAGAGGTGATGTGGAGAATAGAGGTGATGTGGAGTCTCCCACCACATCCACAAGCAGTTAACTATTTCAGGGCAGTAATCCCCACTTCCAGAAAAGGGCTGGACCCAGTAAGACATTGTCTTTCTTTCTTTTAACTGAAAGGTAGTAGCCAAGATTGCAAATTCGTTTTGTACTGTATGTTTGACAGCACACAACAGATATTCACATGCACTTAACATTTATGTCATTTTTTTTCTTTTAATCAAAAATAAGACAACCATAATTTCTCCCCCGCCACATCCCACTTAAGAGAAGTGATTCTGTGATTTAGTTTATTATTGCCCATTCCCACTGCAAGGGTGAAAGCAGCTGATTTCTATGCAGTCAACACTTGATCAAAAGGATGATCCAGAAGGCAGGTGGATTACAGACTAAATGATCAAGTTACTGTGTATTTGTCCCTTGTCATTAAGTTTTACCATTTAATTTCCCATGTGCAAGCATGAATAAAAAGCTAGTCTGATCTAAATCCGACAGCACTCAGCACCTTCAAAGTTTAGAACAGATTTGGGTCTCTGGATGACAGTGCTATAGAAACACCAACACAAAGCTTCCTTATGTTGCGTCTGTGCTGTTAATATTTCAAAGTTTCTGAGTGGTTTGATGTGTACTGATGTAGCTCAGCTTTTGACAAGCAGCTGACAAAAGAATTTCTGCTCTTAGATCAAAGTGGTTACATTAATAAAACTAAGACAAAAAGAGAAGGCAAGTTTTTGGATTGGACAATTAATTAGGACAAACAGCTGGCAACTAGGTTCTGGCTCTGCATATTTTCTGTTTCACAAATCCCAGGACATGATCACTGGTAAAGCTATTGGCATGCTCACCTTTTGCAAAAATTTCCACAAGACAGGCACAGTGTCCTTGCCACCCTTCTGTTGGACAATATGGGCCAGGTACTCAACTGATATCCTCTTCCTGCAGCTCCATATCCGAGAGGAGTGCATAGCACTGTCCTTAGGAAGATGGGATAGAAAGACTGCAGGGTCCCCATAAATAATTTTCACTACAGGGTTGGAAGAAAGTCTTTCATCTTCACTGATTTGTTTATTCAAGTCCAGAAGCGTTTTATCCAAATGCTGCTTAGAAAACATGGTAAATGTGTGAGAGGCATCATAAAAACAGAATACATAAAAACAACTCTTTTAAAGCAATATCAGAATTGCAGAATTAACCCAGGAATCTGTACAGCTGTAATGGTAACTTGAGTGACTGGCCTTGGTAATTCTCTTAATTCAAATATACTGCACTTTCAAAAGCCAAATGATCATTTCTTAAAAGTTCTAGTAAAAAAAAAAAAAAAAAGGTAGAATGTGGACAAGTTTTGAAATGTGTCCCATAGGCCTCCATTCTGAATAAGATCTATATAAAAAGTCAGCTTTTCCTACAATTCTAGCATTAAGCCAAGAAACTAAAACTCAGGTAAGGTAGATATACAAAAGCTGCCTCAGTATCTTCCATGTCTGTTGTAATCTGGAACACAGCTCTATGTAATTTCTGGAAGCACTAGGGTTACCATGGGGAGGCTGAGCTTGACTATGCAAGGCCGTTTGTATTCATTCTAAAGTATAGGATTGGAAGGAGGGTACAGTGGAGGGTATGCCAACCTACTCCCTTCAACAGGCAAGTACATTCAACTAAGGAGCAGAACCTCACAAGCATACTTAATTCATTAAACAGAACTATTTAGTACCTTGCTTCTTTCAGTCCACTGATATCAGTGTTTATTTCAGGATTTAATGGCAAAATAGCCTAAAGAACAAAGATTACTGTTACCATCCAGAATTTGGTGGGAAGCCCACAAGAAGACAAGAAGATAACAGCAATCTCCTGTTTTCTAGCAACTGGTGTTACATACTGCCAATACAGCACTGATACAGGCCCAACTAATAGCCTTCCATTAATTTGATTTATGGACCCAAGATAGTATTACCAAAGCACTTTGTGTTTACAGCACAGAAAAAGAACACATACTGTTTTTCTTATATTTAACCCATGGTTTGCCCAGTATCATTGTTTATACATTATGGAGCATATAAAACCTACTTTAATTTAAAGTTCAGCCTGGCTTGTTAGCAGCAAGCTAGAAATCCCTTCTAAAATTAGTGAATATTGTTGCTTATAATTCTTTATCTGAATGTAGCTCTCACATAATTTCTCACTTGCAGGTAGTCCTTGACCCATAATGGGGACCAGAAAAGTTGTCATTAAGCAATGCAGTCATTAAGAAAGGCATCACATGACCACACCTGATTTTACAACATTTTTTGCAGTGGTTGTTAAGTGAATTACCGCAGTCGTTAAGCAAATCATGTGGTCGTTAAAAGAATCACGTGGTTTCCCATTAATTTTGCTTATCAGAAGCCAGCTGGGAAGGTTGCAAATGGCGATCACGTGACTCTGGGACACTGCAACCGTCGTAAATACCTGCCGGTTGCCAAGTGCCCAAATTTTGATCACCTGACCGCGAGGGACACTGGGATGGTCATAAGTGCAAGGGCTGGTTTAAGTCACTTTTTGTGCCATTGTAACTTCAAACGGTTGCTAAATGAATGGTTGTAAGTCAAGAACCTCCTGTACTTATTCAGATAGAAATGTTATTACACGAAGAAACAGTTACATATAAAGTTTCACAATAAATACTTTATAGTTGTACTACTTTATAGTTATGGCTAGCCAATGTACTGTTTGGGCACATTTTTTTCTCTTTTTTTTACCTTTAGTTCAGGTAGAATAATGATGTGTGCAACATTTTCTTCCCAATTGTTTCGCTTTTCTTTTGTGGAAAGCTGACTGTCAAAATGCACTGGCCCTGCAAAAAATTTATTGCATTTATTCTGCCCCCAACTATCCAGTTATTTTGGTTCTTTGATTCAGAAAGAAACTCCTAGATTTTTTTTTTTTTTTGCATACCTTAGCTTCTGAAAGAAAATAACCAGTTTTCTTCCTTACATTGCTACTGTAACAACAGAATAATATGAAGAGTTCTGTATGGACTCCATATTCTTTCCACAGTGAAGCATTTCAATGTACAGTTGACTTACAGATGCAGAAGTGATTTCTTCAAACTTATATAAGAAGCCACATGCAATTTAGTAGTAGTTCATTTAATAAAATGAACACTGCAAATAACTGTGTTGTAAAAAGAACTCCACAGAAAACCTTGGTGGGTCAGTTTGACAAGCCATTATTTTTCCCCACTAACCTTTGCATATTATCACAAGCACTATCCTGTAGTATTACGCAGGATAACGAAGAAGGCACACAAAATTGTTAAAAATACAATCAGGGACTTTTTGGAAAGACGTAAGTTATCTAACCCATGTAAATTCCTTAATGAAAATGAGTGTGACCGTGAAATCAGACTAAAAGCCAGGTATGCCAACCACTCATTGACAGATGTCAGTGTTTTCTCATGGGTAAAATATAGCTTCTTTTAGTCTAATTTCATGGCCACTGGTCCTCCCAGTTCCTTTGAAATATACTGCCAAAACATGTGCTGCGATTCTTGTGTCTTGAAAGGTAAGCAACGTTTAGCACGCTGCTCTCCTTACATTGTCCTGCATGCTGGTCCTTGAAAAGGCTACACAGAATGAGATGGATGACATTAATGGTTTCATCAGCACTCTTCCCAAGAGTATTCATCAGCTGCTCTAAGTCCTTATGAATATGGAGCCGCAAGAAGCTTACTGGATCCTGAACCTTTGGCTTTATGATCTGCAGGAGAGACTGAACAACAGAACCTACTATTCAGAATTCTTGTCCATGTGATGTATGAAGGAACATTTAATCACAAAGCTAGCTACTTAAATTTTTTTTTAAATTTTCCTTTAACATGAAGATAAACAAATTAATCACTACAATATAAGGGGAACCCATAATTCTCTTAAATTTAATTTTCTACTACCACAATCAAGCTTTATTCTTTCAACCTATCGATTTGTTAGATTTCTATCCCACCTTTCCATCAAGAGCTCAAAGCGGCATATACTCTGCTCCCTCCTTCCATTTTTCCTGCAATAACAACCCTGTAAGCTAGGTTGGAGTGAAGGAGAATCACCCAATGAGCTCTATGGCGGAAGGTGGACTTAAGCTTGAGTTTTTCCAGTGCCAGTCCAACTTCTTAACCACAATATCATATTGGTTCTCATGAAGCATGTTAATAATCACTCAATTTTTCACTCAATTCTGGAATGCAGATTACTTTAATCTCAATGTATTATTAAAAAATATCAGTAATATTTCTCTACAGGCAATGAGCACTCATATTAAAAACAAAAACACCCCAGACATTTCAGGTTGCATTCCTCCACACTATTTCCCAAGAGTGCAAGTCATGGAATAACTAACTCTAGACCCATCTGATAATCTTCCTATTTGATTGAGTAAATCACATTTGCAGCTAATTCTAGTGTAAGGTGGTAATATGCAAGCTACTTTCAGAAGCACAGTGAGTGTGGGAGAAGCGAAGTATGAATATTTAAGGGAAAGGAAACTACAAGACTCCATCTAGAACACTGTTTTTCAAACTTGGCAACTTAAAGCATGCTGGCTGGGGAATTCTGCAAGTTGAAGTCTACACATCTTAAGATTGCCAAGTATGAAAAACACTCATCTAGAAGAACCACAACATGCTCTCCATTTTGCTTCCTGGCAACTTTGAAGCATACATGGAACAGTGGCACTATCCAGGGCATCTTATGCTCCATGATCATTAAACACATAATTGTAGTTATAACACTTTAATGAAGTTGCTACTTCATAATTACTAACCATAATATGACTACTATTATGGCCATGTATCCTTAGCACCTGTTATTAGTTTCTTTGCATAGTATTGAGAAAACTTGATTTTTCAAGTAATAACATTTTAGATAAGTCATTGTCTATTCCTGTACTACAACACATTTCAGAAAGAAGCATATAAATTGTAATTTTCATTCAAAAGAAAATACCTGAGTATCATTTGAGGCTCCCAGAAGCAATGACAAATGAGTGAGCAAGCGAATCAGAATTACGACAGCTGGAGATAACGCCCTCTCAGATGTGATCACAGGACCCCTTTTCCTAGGATCTCCAAGTATGTGGCCTGTTTGTGTCCTGTCCGAAATATCCCTGCACAGATATCACACAGGAAAACTTGCACATTTTTCCTATTTTTTACAATGATTTCCAAATACTGGGAATTATAACATAAAATATTTACCATACAAAATGGGATACGTATATTATGTAATGCACAGAAAGTTATAACAGTATTTGTTTTCATTAAGGTATTGTTGCAAACAAAATTAAATACGTTATGTACACACAAAATTAAATACGTTATGCTGAAATAATCCTAGCAAGCATCTTAAACATTCTGTGCTTCGTAAGAGGACAGGATGGTTCATGAGGGAGCAGAATAGACAGGCACAGATAAATTTCAGGAGGAAGAGAAAGACACAGTTGCAACTCATAATCAGTCCACTTATGGAGAAGGCACGGGGCAAGCTGCAGGGGGGAAAAACCAATAGAAAAAATAGAGGGGTACAGGAGAAAAAATTAAGATGAAGAATAATAGTGCAACAAGTAGTCAAGTAAAATAAAATAGATTTTGCTGGGAGGATGGATACCAACTATAGAAGAAAGAATTCTGATGCCATCTACGGGCACCTGATTTAGTAACTAATTCATTCAAGTAGTATGAGACCACAACTCAGTCTTGAATGCCCCCATCATGCTTATAACAACAGAAAAAGCCTTAAGATAACACTCAGAACTGTCCAAATAAGCAACTACTGGATTCCAAACCATGAACAATTCAGCAAGTAAAAGTACAACCTCCTGTACATTATAGCTCTCCAAAGGAATGCGGATTGAACTTACAGGATGGTAAGGTTTCACTAAGAACAGAAGCAGGGCAGAATATCACAACACATGCCTCACTAGAGAATGAAGCTCGGTTTGGGTTTTCAAAGCATCCAATTTATGGGGGTACTCAAGGTAGTATATTCTTCTTGAGAAAGAAACTAGTGGGTGGATTTCAAGAAGAAGGGAGATATACATTGCCTGCACCTCTACCCGATTTTTGCTCTGATTGGGACAAAGTGGGATGGACCTTTTAAAAATCTTTGGTCATTTATCAAGTGATTTTCAAGTGCTGGCAGCAATGTGGCAGAACCTTGGAGCTGGATGTGCTTGAGACAAGATGTGAAGACCCCAGACAAAATTCTCAGACCCAGAAGAAAGATGTAGGTGAAGAGGCTACAGCAGCCTTAGGGTCTGCAGCTCTTAATTATTGCTCCCAAACAGTGGCTCCCAAATAGGCTGAGCAATTGTGACAAGCATGTTTGGTAAACGTGGTGTTTTTAGAAGAATCTACCACAGGACAAATAATTTCAAAAGGACTGACAAAGAGCTCAGAGAATGACTCTGTTATTACTGTGGCAGTCAAAAACAAACAGCAAAGATTCCCACCAAATCTCTAAGCTGTAGAAGATTCTGTAAGGGCTCTCTGTCAGCATGCAACTAATTTCAAAAGGACTGACAAAGAGCTCAGAGAATGACTCTGTTATTACTGTGGCAGTCAAAAACAAACAGCAAAGATTCCCACCAAATCTCAGTAATGTAGAAGATTCTGTAAGGGCTCTCTGTCAGCATGCAACCCATGTATGTGATTCACAGAGACCACCATTTGGAAGAACTCTTGATGACAGCCAATGGTTGTAGGCTCATACTCCAACCTGCTCTATCGTTAGCTCTTAGTATATCAAGCCCGTTCTGTGAAGTCTCAGAAATCTCAACCTTGTTTGATAAACATTGCCTTCCTTGTGAACTTTGTCTAGCAGTAGGAACACTCTTTCTTTTGAACTCAAGACTGTATTTATGTCTATACCTTTGCATGCTAGGTTTATCACATTGTAAATACTAATGAACTGACTCCAGATCAAAGAGACCAGGACAGTAGATCTACTGGGATCACAATTAGCTACAGCTACTCAGAATAAAGACTGCCATTAGGAGTGCGTAGGTGATACTCAATCTCTTGCAGCGAAGGGCATGTGTGGACTGGATCATACTAGCTGCCAGGCATGGAAACTACATGTGTACCCAAATCATGGTGCCTGATCTTTTCATCAATAAAATTTCCATTCAGAATTCCAAGAAACTGAAATTCAAACCTTGCTTTTTGGAAGTTTGGTATTGGCATGTGGTTAACACCTCCAATTTGAGCACCACAATCAACACAACGACCATGTTCCATAGGTCTACCACACTGGAAAAAAGAAGACAGCAAATATTAAAAACAGAGAACAAAAGTAGTTCTTCATTGTTCCAGTAAGCCCAATTGGCATGTGAATAGAATATCCATCTTACATTATTATCAAGGTAACAATTTTGAATTAATTAGCTGAGGAAATGGTGCCTTAAGGAACATATAATATCGAGAGAAACTTAAATGTTAAGCAAATTATACCAAATAATGCATTTAAAGAAATTTACTACAAAACAGACATAACACACACACACACACTCTCACACCCCAGTGGAATTTCTTACCTCTCCAATAATGCAGGGATGACCATTTGGACACACTGGTTGAATAAAGAAAAACAAAAGTAAGTCAGTGCAATGGTACCAGGAATGGAACAAAGAGAATTCTGAATTATTCTCAAGATTCATAATCTAACCTCAAAAAGCTAATGACACTTACCTCTCCAATAATGCAGGGATGACCATTTGGACACACTGGTTGAATAAAGAAAAACAAAAGTAAGTCAGTGCAATGGTACCAGGAATGGAACAAAGAGAATTCTGAATTATTCTCAAGATTCATAATCTAACCTCAAAAAGCTAATGACATTGTAAAAGGAAAACAAAACAAAAACATTCAAGAAGCAAATGTCATGTCTTGCATCCCGTAACCAAATACCAGAAAATGGACTGGGAGACTCTCAAGTATTATTGACTATTCAAGTATAATATTGAATAGTTTGGTTTTCAAGTCTTCAAAAACAGCAATACCTACCATATG